ATCTTTTAAACTTGAAAGTGATCACATTAAAAACCTGAGGTTACAAGGGACCACAGTGTGAACCAGAATTTCATTTTCCTTCAAGACCCCAGTGGAAAAGGGAAGTATTTGGAATGAGTTTCCTTTGGGAAAAACTGCGGGAAACAGGGAACCCGGGCCGTTGTCAGAAGGCACTGGGGACTCAACGCCAGAAGCAACAGGCTCCCTCCCACCCGAGCCCGAGCCACCGCGAGGACCACGGCCGCCTGGTCAGAGGCAACACCGAGGGCTTGAAAGGCGAATCTTCCCTGTGGTTTTCTCTTCTGCTATTTGCTTTCTGATATTAAGGGAAAGTTCTCAGGTGTTTCACAAACACCTACCGATACCCTCTCACATGTAAAGCTTATAAACTGTGTAGGAAGATCCCCAAAAGATGTTCCATTGGCATTCTAGCTGAAACTGCCATCAGAGGCTGTGACGGGAAGGGGCAGGGGCTCTGGGCATCGGATGGGGCACAGCGTTCCCACACCCACGCAGGACGGGGAGGGCAGGAGTGGGCTCCAGTTAAGGCATTTCCGCGGCTCTTCCTCTGGAATGGCTCCCACTCCCGGCCGAGCACCTGACCCTGCAGCACGATGCTCTGTTGCCATGAGCTCCGTGACCCCGGCCAGAACGTGAGACCTCAGAGCGGGAGGGGAAGGCACGAGGCCGCCTCCCAACCCGAAAGTCCCGCTCCACTGAGCCCACTCCCCCTGGAGCTGCAAGAGGTAGCGTGGGGACCTGCTCCCCGGCAGCCTAACCATGAGCTACATGTCAGCACTATCTACTTCCTTTTTTAAAAGTTTTCTTTTTTTTTTAAGAGCAAAAGCATGCACACAGCAGTGAGCAAGGGGGCTGGTTCACAGGGCGCGTGGCCTTGGCCCAGACCCTTCCTGGCTGGTCCCAGGGACGAAGGATGCCTCCCCAGGCCCACCCTCCAAGCTCACGCTGCCTCAGAAAACAGACACCCACCGCAGCTCAGCAAGCCACCCGGCAGGGAGGCAGGCCTGTGGCCCTGGAGGGGAGGCCCGGCCTGGGCGCTAATGAAGATCTGCGGGCCGGGCGAGCCGAGTCCTCACTGGAGAAAGCCCGGTGGGTCCCCTCCCCGTCCTTTGATTCGGGTGCCTCTATGGGTGGCCAAGCCTCGGAGGCGTCACCCTCAGCGTGTTCTTCGCTCAGATGAGCAGGAGTAAGGTCACTTGCAATGCCTTAGGCTGTCCCTGCTGCTATCCCTCTGCCCATCACCAGTTTTTGGTTCCTATTAACTTTGCTCTCCCTTAAAGCAATGGAGGAAATAAAAAGAAATGATTATAAAACATTATCCAGAGGCTGAAGACAAAGCAAGACTGCAGGACAACAGAAACGGTAGCGCCTGGAAGAGCCACACCAGGACGGAAACAACTAGAATGCCCAGGACATACTGTCAGCAGGGCCCCCGAATGTGGGCCAAGGACCTAACTCCAGGGGCGCCGGGGCTGGAGAGGGGAGGCAAGAGGAATGGGGGAGCGGGAGATGGGACGCGTGCTTGGGCTGAGAACAAAAATCCTGAAAGAGACCAGGAAGCTGAGGAATGTGTGTCGTCATCCCCTGCGGCTGGTGGTGGCTCCGGTCGTGCGCTCCCAGCAGCCCGGGCCCCCGAATGTGGGCCAAGGACCTAACTCCAGGGGCGCCGGGGCTGGAGAGGGGAGGCAAGAGGAATGGGGGAGCGGGAGATGGGACGCGTGCTTGGGCTGAGAACAAAAATCCTGAAAGAGACCAGGAAGCTGAGGAATGTGTGTCGTCATCCCCTGCGGCTGGTGGTGGCTCCGGTCGTGCGCTCCCAGCAGCCCCCAGGCTAGGGCG